CTATCCTGGAACTTGCTTTGTAGACTAGGCTGGCCTTGAACTCACAAAGATCTGCCTGGCTCTGTCTCCCGAGTGCAAGGATTAAAGGCATGCAGCACTATGCCTGGCTAATTTTTTACATCTTAAAGTAAGATTTATCTGTGCACTGACCTTGATTCTATGATCTTGTTAAGTTCACTTTATAGTTCTTGAGGAACTTTCTTTTGTGCTCTTATTAAGATTCCTCACATAGGCAATTTTGTTGTCTGGAAATAAGAAAAATTTCATTCCTTCCTTTCCGTATTTTTCTCTTCCTATTGATTGATTGGTTGATTGGTTGGTTGGTTGGTTGGTTGATTGCCCTCTGACACTGACAAGGAAAGAGCCGGATGGAGTCTTTTGTCATTGAAAACAGTGTTGACTGTGGGCCCTTTCTCTACAGATGTTTTTGTCTCTGCGCATACCGATTGTGAGTGGGTGTTAATTCTGTTAAATGCTTTTCTGCATCAACTGTTAGGATCATATTGGTTTTCTCCTTTAGATTGTTCACATGGTTGATGACAGTGATGGACAGTTGAATATTGAGTTGGTCTTGTATTTCCACCATGAGGTCCACTCAGTCGTAGTACATTATTCTTTTTATCTGTCAAATCTTTTGTTTGCTAATATTCTATTAGGTTCTTTTTTTGTGTATGCTACTCAGGAAAGCTGCTTTTAGTTTTTCCTTGTATTGTCGTGGTCTGGTTAATTAATTTTCTTGTTGTTGTGCAGTGTGTCCATGTACCATGGCCTGCACATAGAGGGACAACTTGAATGAGTCATTCTTTCCTTATGCCGTGTGGGTTCTGGGGATTGAACTCAGGTTGTCAGGCTTGGCAACAAGCACCTCTACCTGCTGAGCCATCCCACCGGCCCTTGGTCTGGGTTATGTATCAGAGAATGCCATTTACAAAACACACACTATACAGTGTTCCCTTTTCTGTTTTCTGGAAGAGATCAACCAGAGTTGATGCTGTTTCATCTTTGAATGTTCAGAAGAATTTGCCAAGGAAACCGTCTGGAGTCTGCAAATGCCTTTTTTGAAAGCTTTCCAATGGTGAATTCAATTTTAAATGGTTGCAGGACATTTCAGGCTCTCTGTTCTTCTCGGACGGCATGGGGAGTTTTCCTTTCACAAGGCAGCCCCTCCTGAATTACTGGATTGTCTGTGCAGAGATATTTATATAATTCCCCTACCAGCTTGTCTGTGGAGCCCACAGTGAGGACCTTTGTTTATTCCCCAGTATTAAAAATTATCATTTCCATTTTTTCTTTGTCAGTATCAATATTGATTTTTTTTCCATGAATGAGTTTTTGTTGTTTTGTGGGTTTTTTGTTTTTTGTCTCTCTGCTTTCAATTTCATTGATTTGCTAGGCACAGCAGCATAAACCTGTTAATCCCACCACCAGGGAGGCTGAGGCAGGGTGATCATGAGCTCAGGTCCTGCTTGAGTTACAGAGTGGGATCTTGATTTGGAATATTTTTCTTTGAATTTTTTTCTATTCTCTTTATTTCCTTTCATGCTCTTACTTTGGGCTTATTCTGCTCATTTTCTGGCTTCTTCTGCTGGAAGCTTAGATGAGCAGTTTGAGACTTCCTGTTTTAACATCCATGTTGGCTGTTCAAACTACCTCTCTGTGTGTTGACAGGCTGTGTTCATCAGTTGTGTTGTTTGGCCATCCCATTTACATCCAGTCCAGAGCAATAGCTTTGATCTATGGTTTATTTGAGAACGTGTTGTTAGTGTCCAAAGCGTTGGTGAGGCCTCCTGTGAGAGCTCTTGTTTTACTATCTGGTTCCACTATGATTTCATTCTGACCACGGAATAAACAACTCTGACTTCCATGGTTTTACATTTGTTCAAGTTCCCTTTATAACCCAGGGTATGTTCTTTCTTGGTGAACGCCCTTCATGTAATTGAAGATATGGGTCCAATTAGTGTTGGCCCCATGGCTGCATACATTTCTGTTGGAATCCATCTTTTACAGCCTTGTTAATCTTTCAGCCTCCAGATGCATCATCTCTGGAGATGAGAGATGATGTCTCTAGGGTGGGGGTGCCTGTCTTCTCTCACGGTTGGAACGGTCCCTACTCTTTCCAGCCCAGTTAACACTAGGCATGCACACTCCCAATGTCCCACGTCTCCCTGCTGAGCCGACATTTCTCAGGGCTCCATGCACTGCTTCCTGTCTCATAATTATTTTTTCTTCTCAGAAATCTACTTTGTTGGATATCGATACAGCCACTTTTTCTTTTGGATCAGTGTTTTACTAGGGTGGCTTTTCTGTTTCTTCATTTTTATCCTGACCACACAATTGTTATTTGAAGTGAGATTCTTGTAGACAACATATGGCTATATCGTGTTTTCCAAATCTGTTCAGGCAGTCTCTGTCTTAGCTGATGTGATAGACTGCTTTTATGTTTAATTATTGTTATATTTGGATTTTGTGTCTCAGTCTTTGTTTACTTTTTATTTACCACCTCTGAGATTTAGTTTTTCTTTCCTTTTTTCTTTTTTTTGACATTTCTGGTATGCTGTTTTAACTCATATTCTATTGCTTGCTATATTGACATATTTTAAAATCCAGAAGTAAAGAATTGGTTTTTGTTGTTGTTTGGTCTCATACCCCAGGCTGGACCAGAACTCAACAAGCGCCTAAAATTAGACGTAAGCAGCAGCTCTTCATCCTCAGCCTCCCAAGAGCTGGGACTGCAGGAGTGACCCACCCCATCTGAAGGACAACTTTGAATTTGCCAGGCATTTCTCATTTCTGTTTCCTCCCTTTATTCCTAATAAACACAGTTTATTTCTAGAACAGTCTTTTGTTTGTTTGTTTTAAATATCTGAAGAGCATTTGTTTGTTTGTTTTAAATATCTGAAGAGCTTCCTTCCTGCTGGGAATGGCGATCCTGGTTTCCCATTAGCTGAAAAAGTGTTTATCATGTCTTTCCCTAACGACGGCATTCTGAGCCCTGACCTCTCTCAGTGGCTCTCCATATCGTCTTCTTCTCTTCCCCTGGGCCCCCAGGTTTCAGACCAGAGAACCTGCATTGCTCCTGGTCATCACTCCCAGAAGAGTGCGCAGCTCTCTGGCTTTTTGTAACGTTCCTCACTGCCTTTGTTTAATCTTCAGACAATTAATTACACTACACTTTGGTGCGGATTCCGGTCTCTGAGCTTCTCCAATCTGTAGATTTGTGTCTTTCCTCGGTGTAGAAGTATTTCTGCTTTTGGTCATGGAAGTCCAGCTGCTGGGGGAGGTTCTGGCTGCAAGTTCTACTTCACCTGTGTGCTGTGTGGTGCTCATGCCTGGCCGTTTTTTGTTTTTTGTTTTTTGTTTTTTTTTTTTTTTT